TCTTGCCTTTGCATCCACAAGAGGTTTGCTGCTTAACCCCACTGTTTTATATGAGGTAAAATACTGAGCAGTATTTAAACCTCCAATCACTCTCTCATGCACACACACATCAAAGCAGCAAACAAACAGCAATATCAGCACAGTAATAACAGAACAGTATTAACAAGCTTCCTATATACATGAGGAGTTACCCTTATGGGGTTTCCTCGAATAGAGTTTTAGCAGAGCGACATCATACAAGGATACTCAAACCTCAGAGTTTTAGCAGAGCGACATCATACAAGGATACTCAAACCTCAGAGTTTTAGCAGAGCGACATCATACAAGGATACTCAAACCTCAGAGTTTTAGCAGAGCGACATCATACAAGGATACTCAAACCTCTAAAATAGCCATTTTAAAATTCACCTACGTTTCTGTAGTTTTCGGGTTGTCCAGTCGGATCTCGTCACTCCGCCGTTGGCAGACAAAGTCGGACCTACGTCGCTGGCCCAGCAAAGAATTTTGCTTCCTGGGTCTTTCTTTCCAGGTCCAGTTGACTCTGGCCGTGCATGGATTCAGCGCGTCTTCCTCTGCCTGACAGCAGGGGGTTGAGAGATCCCGGGTTTCGGCACCAAATAATGATGGGTATTTTTCCTTTTTAATCTACATAAAAGAACCACAGACAACGTATATGAATTTTATAGCCAAGCTTTTGCAAAAGGAGAAATCTCCATCAACAACTTCTCCAAGCCGTTCACAGAGCGTTCTGATCTCCTTCCACTCGAGCCCCTGTTTTATTGTCAAAGAAAAACAGCCAAGGGGGCAGTCAGTAAAAACAACAGAGGTCGTAAAACATGTAACCTAAACCAGCAACCCAGTTCCAGGTGTGATAACTGATCTACGGTCTGAGCCCGGTTCAAATCTCGGTCAAACTGTCAACAAAGAGGGAGGATAAACAAGAGACAAAATACGACTGCTCACAGGCAGTTAGGAGGTATTCTGGTTGATAAGAATTAAGGTCTGGGAAACACAGAG